CACATGTTGAACACAAATATCTGTACTTTCTACTTCTTACATGCTTAGCGGTGGTGACGTGAAGTCATGTGACCGACCGTGCTGTAGTTCCTTTATAGCCCAACATTAGCCCCTTTAGCTTAGCGGTGGTGACGGAAGCATGTGACTGCGTAGTTCCTTGTGCTGTAGTTCCTTTATAGCCCAACATTAGCCGCCTTTAGCTTAGCGGTGGTGACGTGAAGTCATGTGACCGTGCTGTAGTTCCTTTATAGCCCAACATTAGCCGCCTTTAGCTTAGCGGTGGTGACGTGAAGTCATGTGACCGTGCTGTAGTTCCTTTATAGCCCAACATTAGCCACCTTTAGCTTAGCGGTGGTGACGTGAAGTCATGTGACCGTGCTGTAGTTCCTTTATAGCCCAACATTAGCCGCCTTTAGCTTAGCGGTGGTGACGTGAAGTCATGTGACCGTGCAGTAGTTCCTTTATAGCCCAACATTAGCCGCCTTTAGCTTAGCGGTGGTGACGTGAAGTCATGTGACCGTGCTGTAGTTCCTTTATAGCCCAACATTAGCCGCCTTTAGCTTAGCAGTGGTTTGCCACAGAGATTGTTTTCTGCATTAATCCCAAAATCACATCTAGAAATCCCATTGGACCGGGGAGATGCTGCCTTCAGGGTCACTGCACCACTGTATTTGCCAAATTTGAGCCATTTTGGGTTGGAAATCGATCCTGAATTGAAGTGGGAAATTGTGTTGATGATGGTCCCGTGAAGACACACTCAGAAACACTTTTGATTGTATTACAAGAAAAAAGGAATAAATACAAAAATACATAGAAAAAGAAGAGTCTTTAAAGTTTCTCTCGGTTACTGTCCGTCAGCGGTCCTGACGCTCCCAAATGGTCCCAGTTTTAGCAGCAAGTTTTCCGTGTTTGTTTGTAATCCGTGGATTGGAAACAGGACGTCCCACATTAATAGCACTTTTACATGTACTGTACAATGTTAATTGACAAAAACCACCCCATTTTTGTTTCACATTTTATTCTAAAATATGCAGTTTGGGACAGTTAAATTCATGATTAAGAGATGTGGTGAGTTTAGTACCCCCAAATTTGCGTCGACAAATGCTAAAACACATCAAAAACATGTAAAAACAGTATAAAAATAAAGTTGTTATTACTTTGATACACCATAAGTAACACTAGATTTTACAACAGCACATCGATGAGATGACTGCACCATCGTGACGTAAATAATTTCACATTTTTGGTATAAAGCAATATAATATTACACAACAGGATAATTGTCAAAGCAGGAAACAAGGCTAACTACTAGCAGCACAACATTTCTCAGCAAAAATATGTAGTTCATTAATTATATTTAATTGATTGATCAAATAAATTGTGACTGAGTAATTGGCTTAACTAGCCTCCATCTTTTTTTAATAATATATGTATTCATTTGTTTTTCTAAAAGCTTGATTTTGTGTCCATTATTTAAAATAAAAGACACGTTTTATTATTTAAAAACTACAACTCCCATCATATTAGTAAACGCCTTATGGGAGCTGTACTTAAACAAATAAAATAGTTGTAACAAACAATTAACAAATTACTATTTAGCAGTTAAATACTAGATATAATTGTTTTTAAAACAATATTGATTAGCATAGCGAGCTAATAGTAGCATGAGCTTATAGCTTAGCATCCATTTATTGACATTAATGCAGACGAACACTGAGTTACTAAAACTAGCATTAGCCTCTATGGAGATTGCTGTATTACGAGAACTAGCTTAGCATTAACTTATTAGCTTTACATTGGTGTGTTAGCTTTTCGCTAGTGATCTATGGCTAACGTTGGCTCCATTTGTGACGTCAGCATTTCATACGTTACTGCAGAAATGTAAGAAAAAAAGTAAAAAGTAAAATGTAGGAGCAGGGGCTGTAGATGGATAATACAGAGCAGGATATTAAGAGGTAATTTGATAATAAATAAATGGTTTTAATGGGGACTTTTCTGTCCTTTTTGGCTTCGGCAGGCTGCATTTTGGATATTCACTTATTATCGGGGCTGAATTCACAATTTTGATCAATAAAATTATTTTAAAAATGTAAAATTAAACAGCCAGAAATGTCCCTATTAAGGCACAAGGGTCAAGATTAGTGTGTTTGCTAGTTAGCAAGCTAGCATTTCAGGGTAAGTTTGATAAATGTAGTATTTCGGATGAGTTTGTAGTTTTTAGACCTGTGAAACCATGAAAATGACTTTATAGATACATCATGGTGCTGGATAGACTTTAAAACGTTTCGTAGGTGAATCATGGAGTAACGTAGGAAGTGCAGATGTCACAAAAGCGGCGAGGAGATGTTGGTTCATTGATGGTCGAGTAACCAAAGGTGCAACCAGCTAACAGTCATTTTACCAACAGCCATTGTTATATCAGAACATCACGATTATAAAAACATTTGAAACCCTATAAGACACATAAAACACAACAGTGTTATTGAACCATCGACTTCAGACTATTATTTCTACGTCTCCGTGACAGGAAAAAAAAGGTAACGGGACATACTGGTTAGTGAATAAAAACACGATCCGAAGAGAAGCGAGTCTTTGAGCTCCTCTGAAGAAACGCTCGCCAAAAAACACGAAGAAGAAACGGCAGAGAAGAAGAAGAAGAACGGATAGATTCCCCTTTCCAGAATTTACCTTCCATCTTCCCTTCAACAGGCTCCGCCCACATCACTCCTGATTGGCTGTCCGAGGTGTCCGTCAATCGTAAAGCTCTACAAATGACTCGCTTTATGTCAGAGCAATTCCTGGTTCAAACCGACGCCTGCTGTGGCACTGCGCTCTCATTGGCCGGTTTCTGCGGAGAGGCGGGACTCGTACAGACTCAGAGCGTGATGGACGAACTCGTACTGCTCACCTGTCTGAATCATACCTCCTCTACACACACACACACACACACACACACACACACACACACACCAAACACAAACACACACACACACACAGACACAGGTTATTAATGTGATTTTTTTAAACAAACTGATTTATTTGACAACTTAATGCAAAAAATGCCAAAAAAACGTGAAAAAATTATCGAAAAATGTACAAAAAAAACAAAATGTGGAAAAATGCAGAAAAGTGTGCAAAGAAGATAGGAATAAAATGACTGAAAAAATGCAACAAATATGTGGAAAATATGTTAAAATGACAAAGTACAAAAAAATTGCATAAACAGACCACTAAGATATTTAGAAAATTTAAATAAAATGTTAAGTAAACTCCTACCTTTAGTTGTGGTTTTAAAAACAGTGTGTTTTGTGTAAGTGTTACCTGTCTGCTCGCAGGCGGCAGGTGATACTCAGCACGTCGACGAAGCCCTCCAGCTGCAGCTGTCGACAACCTATCGTCGTGGCAATGAAGCATCCGGTCCGTCCAATCCCGGCGCTGTAGAGCGAAGAAAAGGATTGTGGGTAATGTAGTAATTTGAAAGTACCTTACAGTAGTAGAGTTCCCATGTTTCTCTCAAGCCCCCAGGAAGTACTCCGGACTCTGAGGAAAATATTCCTAGTGGCCAAACGGAGGTACTACAACTTCCGTATCAATCCGTGACTTCATTGGGCCCATTGGGTGTACTTTTACTTCTTACATGTTGAACACAAATACCTGTACTTTCTACTTCTTACACTTTGAACACTAACACCTGTACTTTCTACTTCTTACATGTTGAACACAAATACCTGTACTTTCTACTTCTTACAGTTTGAACACAAATACCTGTACTTTCTACTTCTTACATGTTGAACACAAATACCTGTACTTTCTACTTCTTACATGTTGAACACAAATACCTGTACTTTCTACTTCTTACATGTTGAACTCAAATACCTGTACTTTCTACTTCTTACATGTTGAACACAAATACCTGCACTTTTACTTCTTACACTTTGAACACAAATACCTGTACTTTCTACTTCTTACATGTTGAACACAAATACCTGTACTTTCTACTTCTTACACTTTGAACACTAACACCTGTACTTTCTAATTCTTACATGTTGAACCCAAATACCTGTACTTTCTACTTCTTACATGTTGAACTCAAATACCTGTACTTTCTACTTCTTACATGTTGAACTCAAATACCTGTACTTTCTACTTCTCTCATTTTCCAAACAGGCTGGTTCCTTTAGTCTGAATGTGTGTTTGGTGGCGTGATCATTATTATTTAGAGTCATTGCGTGCCTATTGATTTGAACACGATCCGTGTATCCATCATTTCCTGGTCTTCTCTAAAGAAGAGGGACCAATGGAAACGTTGTCATGTTGCCGTTGTTCAGCATGGAAACATTCATTAGCTAACAATGACATTATTGTTCTATTAATATAAAGGGAGGTCAGGTACTCTTTAAAACAGCTGCTAGTTATGGGTACTTTTTACTGAAGTACATTTCAAAGCCTCTTTACTTTTACTTGAGTAAAGAGGTTTAGTCAGTACTTCTACTTTCACCAGAGTATTTTTAAACACGAGTATCTGTACTTCTACTTGAGTAAAGGATGTGTGTACTTTTGCCATCTCTGCATCCACGCTTTTTCTCTCTGTACCTGCAGTGCACGATGACGGGTCCCAAGATGGCCGCCGCCCTCTGGTCCTCCACGTCTCCCATCAGCTGCAGCAGCGGCAGC